CGTCACTGACGTCGTCCACGCTTCAACGGATTGTGTCGTCCAAGGCTCATCCTCCTGCAGCTTCTGCTCCACACCATGCTCTTGCCTCATATGCCTGACTATGCTGAGTGAGCGTGCTCTTCTTCTTGTGGTATACTGGTCCAAGGGTGCTGACGCTGCTCCTAGCACTTCGTTGTGGAAGGCCTCTTTGTTTCAGGTTATTAGAATTGAGTCTTGCCAAGTTCTTCTTTTCACCATCTTTCCAACCATCTTGCAGCCAGGGCATGACCGCTGCCCAGAGGATAGCTGCGCTTCGAACCACCTATCCAAAGTGATACGGACCAGGCAACACGAAAAAAAGGCACGCTTGATCGTATGGTGGAAATCTCACACGAACGCTCGCTCACACGAACGCTCGTTTTCAGGCTTTAGGTGAAATTACTTTGGAGGCACAGGCCTTTCAATGAAGGCGTCCACAGCAACACACAATTTGTCCAAGTCTGAACGGTCCATTTTGGGGACACGGGCCTGAAAGAAGGCGTGCGCAACAGGAACAGAAAAGCCGATGTCTGGCACGAAAGGATACCTGGAGACGTCCCCTGTTGCTTGTGACGGAAGTCTTGGACGAAACGCTCGTTTTGGAGGAGTCCTATGTCATTTCTGGGGTCTCGCGCGGAGAAACAACTATCATTTTGGAGACACGAGCCTGAGGGAAGGCGCCCACAACAGGACCAGAAAAAAATTCCCCAAAAAAACGGAAAAAATTCCTAAAAAAAATTCGCGGCCGTGTGCAATCCAACTCTGTTGCACAATGTGTCGCTGTAGGACACCTTCATGAGATCAAATGAGCCTTTGCCACAACAGCGGGATGGTTGCATTATGATGCTGGTCAAGCAAGAGGAGCAAGAGAGTGGCCTTGATCCCGAACCAGGTGTAGCCCAACCTGCGATGGAAGACATGCCTCAAGACATGGTACTGACAGAAGCGGCGCAAAGTGTACATGACTACTTTGGTTTGACTCCCGAGGTTCAGAAAGCGGTTTCCAGCATGAAGGGTCTCTACCGAAATGAAGAATTCCAGCAGTGGGAGGTGGGAATGCGCAAGAAACAGCCTGCACTTACCATCAAAGATTCTGACTCATGGCTGTTTCTACAATACTCTTTGTGTATTTCTCTGTCATTTAATGTGTTAGTTTCTTGCTGTATGCGGGTGAGTGCGCTGCTGTTCAATACTTTGTAAAAGGATGTATGTCTATGTTAGTCAATCGTTGCTTGGAAAGACCAGGACTTGGCCATCCGAACGACGCTGCCGAAGTAGCACTATCTTTAGTGGAATTCCGAAATGCAGAACGTCACCGCTTGGAGAAGACCTCGGTGAAGGCTCTGAGGCCTGAGTTGTCTCTTCATGGAGTGAAGTGTGCTCGGAGAAAGGAAGACATGGTCGACGCTCTTGTCTATATCTTGTGTCAGAACCGGCTACAAGAAGACCTCCAACTTTTTGAACAAAGGGCCCAGGCAGACAAAGCTGAGCAAGCAAAAGCACAACAAACAGAAGGCACGATGAACACACAGGCAGTAGTGGCGAGTGCTTCCAGACCATCGGCAGAGCAGCAAGCACCACAACAGGCAGAAATAGCAGCTGAGCAACAGACAGGAGCCAAGATTAACACACCAACAGCAATGGCAAGTACTGGAAAGGAGGCGCAAGCAAAAGATACACCAGCAGCAGAAACACCGGCAGAGCCGCAAGCACCAAAACAGGCA